GACGGAGTCTTAAGCGGAATGGGTGTTCTGCTTCTGATTCTGTTGGTTTGATTTTCACTAGATCATATCGCTCTACGCTTCTGATTACCACTCCAACTACGACTCCGACGCTGGTAAAAACCAGCCTTTATAGCGAAAAATCCGATATCCAATTAAATTCTATCGATAACTGTTTCCGTTTTCCGAAAACACTCGCCCTTTAGTGAAGAAATCTCCGCAGTCAAGAGATTATGCACCTCATTTTCTCTTGCTGCAGTTGAGTCCTTGTTGCAGACTTATTCGAGTAACTGTTTTTATCAAAGGCTGGAGCATTGGATAATGTTATTCAAGAGTTTTCATTGGCTTGGTCATCATGAAATATTCAACAATTATACCATGCTCTAGAAATACGGTTAGCGTATGCGAAATTTTGGGGGGCGTTTTATTGTTTTATTTTTAATATAATTATTCCACTCGCTCTTGTTGGCTGATGTCACGCTACGTGCTCCTAAGGGAGCCAAAGTTGACAAGGCTTGACTATTTGCTAGCCTATTTGAAGCTAGACCGGTTTCCAGCCGACAACAGTTCTATCTACGTTTGTACAAATACGAAACTGCCAAACTGGGTGCAAACAAAATACAAGTATAAATCATCCGATGGCACGGGGTAACAAGATCTTCTTGTTTGGAATCTCATTTCATTTCTAAGCTTTATTTCCCGAAAATTTCTTTTCGCCCGACTAACTCCTGTATTCTCACGATATGGATGACCACCTTTTTAAGACAATTCAAGGAGAAATTAGATGTTGATGCATGTCGAACTGAAACTCATATAACTTAGCTAAATGTATTTCTGTTCCATACTTCGATATCAGTACAGTCAAACTTGTATTTGGCCGGACACTCTCGGGACCCTTGCTAGTGTCCCTATTTCCGTAAACAATGACAAGTATATGAGGTAAAGCGTTTTAAGTTTATAGCAACAGTATCTATATTCGAAAAAGAAGCGGCTTTTTAAAACATTTAACGATAAAAAAATTGCGACAAAACATTTCGTAAAAGCATATTAATTAAAAGTCTGTTGACGACGTTTCGACGTTTGGCTAACGTCATTATCAAGTCAAAGAGTAAATGATAAATGTTTAAATACTAAAAATACAATAGGTGATGGAATGTTCTTTCAAACAAAGAGTTTTGCGCGAATGGAATCAATCTGCGACTTGAGACTAGGATTGCGCTCCTTGATGAAAAGCATCTCGTAGACAAGACAATCAAATTTTCCTTGGCACTTTTTTAGAATGCGGAATTGGCTTTCTTTGAGGAGGCTTTTATCCCCATGGGCTGTCGAAAAGTGTTTACCGATCGCAGAGGTTTTATGTTCAACAATACGTTGGTGGAGGTGTCGAGCTGTAAAACCGACATAATCTGAATCATACGATCACATGTAAAAGAGTAAACAAGGCATTGTTGATTTACGATTGGAGGCTTGATTTCTCTGGGCTTGAGGTCTTGTTCCAATTTTCTGCTGATAAATACGAGTTGTAGTGTAGTACCAATCTTGTGACTGAGATCACGCAATTTGTGAATATTTAATGCCATCTCCAGCGAGAAAAGTTGCCTGATTTCAATGCCTTTCCTGTTAACATACATACAATCCTGATTGGTCAATTTAAATTTCGTGCGCGCGCACCAGCCGTATGTAAGGCGGAGTCTCCGTCATAAAGAGGTTAAACTTGTATGAATTTGATCCCTAGGGCCAAGATTTAATGTCCGTTATCCGTTTTAGAGAGGGTCCGTGTTATGGAGGGTTTTTTTAGAGGAAATTTATGAGAATTTTGTAGGTACTATCCGTATTAGAGCGCAGGTGTCCGTATTAGAGAGTTGTCCGTAAGGGGAGGTTCCAGTATTGAAGCCACTGTTCAGCCCCCTTGTAATTAACCTGTCATTAATCTGTCAGCAGCATGTCGTAATCTCCGCGTGGATGCATACGAATGTGAATAGATCGTACAAGAAAATTACAGTTCGAGGGAAAATACGCAGTTTTCTCAAGCTTTTTGTAAATGGAGTAAAATGGAGCGGGTCGATCCCCATTGTCGACTTTTGTAAATACGTAATAAGTCGTTTACTTGTCGTGCTAAAAGAGCAAGGCCTTATGTGTCCCACGATGCGACAAGGGCTGATGATGCTAAAAGAGGGAAAACAGTAAACACGTTACGGGTAGCGGGTGCCTTGGAACGGCAGCATACAATCTTCGTCTACAGGCTCTGACTCCCCGTTCTCCCCTCGGCCACTTCACTCTCATTCAGTTCCTTTTTGGCCCTCCCAGCCGGAACTTGTGCACAGGCTAGTTTGATACAGGTTTCTAACAATAGAAATGACCATAATTGTCAAGTTTAAGCTGTCAGCGTCCTCTTAATAGAGGTTTGCGTTGAATGCAGGTATTTTTTACAATGGATGTGGGAAAAGGAAAAAAATGGGACCTGCACTGCTCTCCGCCTAATGGAGGGTGTCCGCTTAATACGAGTTTGACTGTATTTCCGTAGTTTACAGACTTAACATTAAGGAATATTACTGTATGGCTGTGTCTCGCAAGGACTGGCATGGGACCTATCAACTTCACGAATGTGATTGGCTACTCTTACATGTAGTTTACAGACTTTACATTAAAATAAGGAATATTTTACATGAGATATGGCCGTGTCTCATAAGGACTGAGACCTAGCAACTTTACGAATGTGATTGGCTACTCTTACATGTAGTTTACAGACTTTACAT